AGAAATGGAGGAGTGGGGGAAAAGCTAGGGGAGCAGAATTGGGGGGTAGAATAGAGTGGGGAAGTATGGAGGTCTTTGGGACTTTGGAGGTGGGAAAAGGGTCCAGAATGGAGTGAGAAGCATGAGGCAGAGAGAGGCTTTGGGAGCCGTGCTGAGATGGTGAAGAAGGTTTCTGGGAAGATGGGGAGATGCTGGGGGACATGGCGGGTTGCGGGGAGGTGAAGCCTCCTTGAGCCATGTTAAGAGGAGGCGGCACTCCTGAAGCTCCCCTTTGGGTCAGCGGCGTTGCTGTCAAGCAAGGGACAAACCCAAAGGCGTGAGGAGCCAGACCGACTGCGTGGTTGTTTGTAGGGAGTTCCTGTGTCTGGGAGCGTTGTTTAGTTCTGGCTCTGAACTTGGCTGGATTGTAGACTGGAGGGTTTTTTTGTTTCCTTTTATAAGGCTGGGGAAGCACTGCTTTGGGGCTATATAATCATCCCGTTGGGGTAGGGAAGTAATGGGGTGCTAGGGTTGGCCAAATCCCAAGCTGGGGATCTTGTGTGGCTTCCCTGCTTCTACCCTGTAGTCTGTGGGAGAAACCAGAGTTGCGTCACCTCTGCACGTCCACAGCTGCCCCCTTTCTGGAGGGACAACTTGGTGTCTTGGTGCTAGGGGAGCTCATTTTTAATAGAGTCTGTGATCACTCTCTGTGAAAGGTATTGTGCAATTCTCTATTTCATTGTGGTTTTTAGTCTGTGAAATCAAATAAAACCTATTTCTCTCTACTTTTTCCTGATAAGTGGATGTGCTCAATGTTCAAGCAGTAAAGCAGGCTCTTTTAAGCTGCTGTATGTGTCAGACATGTAGTGAGGGCTTTTACGTCTCTAGAAAAGTAAATCTAAGCAGTAGGTTTGCAACTTGTAATGACAGTCGTGCGGGGTCTCTGACTCAGCCGGTGTCTTCGGGAGGGCAGGGTGAGGAGGAGTCTGGGTTAGAGCTCTGGGTGCAGTGAAACTGAGCCTGATTTCACTGCACCACTGATCTCTGTGCAACACCATCATATCAGGATACAAGGGTATGCTGGAGCCCTGGGCCCTAGAATGCCTGGTTTAAACTTAAAGAGTGCTTTTAAGGAGTGCCAGAATGCCATACGTGTGCATGCGACCTAGATGTTGAAAGAAAATGGTCTCTGTGTCCAAACTTATCCCTGTCCTTGGAATATAACGTTGTTCACAAAGCAGCTCGTCATTCTGTGAACAAGGTATAATCTTTAAAGGTATGTGATGATGTCTTAAATATGAAATAACCGGTCATTATGTTTGAAAATGCTAAGCGGAGATACTATCCTTGTAGTCTTCATTGCACAGTAACTACATGAAGTTAGCATTATACACTCTTGTCTATAGCTGCCCTCACTAATTTACTCTGTGGTGAGGTTTTAGTGCCTCGTTTCCCCCGGTCTTTTACAAGCAGCTGGCAAACATCCACAGCGTGTCCGAGGGTGAAAGTGTGCCTTTATTGTCAGGGAAGGCATAATCTGCAGTTGTGGGAGGCCAGTTTGTTAGGGTCTTTTATCTTCCCTGCAGGGAGGTTAGAGCAGCGCAATCTAGTGCAGTAATTCCCTGAAGGGAGGTCCCTGGGTGCTGTTTCGGGTGGCGTGTGGGTCTCTTCCTTGAGCCACAAATTTCAGATGGCAGGGGGGCATCTGATGCTGGAGATGAAACCTGTGCTGCAGGGAAGGGTCTAGGTGGGATGCAGAGGTTGGGGAAAAGGTCATTGGGTGTTTTAAGGGTCCTTCATGGAAATCCCAGGGGGTGCTGAGGGTGTGTGCGAGGGTTTCGACTTGAACAGTAACTTCTCCTTTATTAACTCCCCATGTAGGGACTTGCTTAACCCTAGCAGACAGGAAGAAGTATCTGTGAAGTTCACACGCTCTTAATCTGCACTGACGTCCAGGAGCAGACAAGCTCGTCTGCAGCTCTGTAGGACTCGTGGTGGGATGTGTTTAGCAGAGTGAACATGAACAAGCTCTGGAAGTCAGGGTTTGCCCAGGCATTTTGCTGACAGCCTGAGGTGAAGATGATGATGGTTTTTCAAAGCTTCATGTAGTTTTGTGCTTGTATTTTCTAGATAGGCTCTTAAGCATCTCTTACTGAGTTCCCCAAAGCTTGAGTTAACCTGATTTTACTGTAGGGATAGTTGCCCCAGTAATATATCTTCATGTGAAGAACACCCCATTTCACCATCACACCATGCACAGGTAATCTCCAGCAGCAGAATTGTTTGGGTATGGGGTTTGCAACTACTTTGGCTGAAAATAGGGCCATGTCCACAGGAGGAAGAACTAGAGCTGTGTGCTGTGAGGAAGTAGCAGTTTCTCCTGAATGTAAAAATTGGTGATGAAATATTAATGCTCCCAACTGAGTCACCAGCCAGACCGGATTGGGTCTCCTGCTTCCTAAACTGATCGGGAGTTGTACAACTACATGAACAACTTAGTCTGGTTTCCCAAGAAAATGAGGCTTGCGTGATTTTGCTGCTGTGTGTGGCTGTCTGCATGTTTCCCGCTGTTGGAAACTTGAGTCTGCCTCTCACAGACAAATAGGCAGGAGGCAGAAATCTGAAAGTTAAATTTCTCTAAGTTTCATGAAAATAAGTACCCAGGGAGAGGAGGGGGGAAAAAACAGTTAGTGGTGCCTACTGCAGGGAAGTGCAGCATGAGCTCAGTTTTTGCTAGGTAGGAGAAAATCTGCGTGGGGAGATGACCCGTGGGATGTATTTGCAGGAAGGTAACTTCATTAACGTGTGTACCCATAGAATAGCTCGTCAGGCGTGTTGCGTGGGTGAGTGGTTGGTAGGGACTGGGATTCTTCTGAAGGATTTCAAGCAATAATAAAGGGTGAAAATAATTGAGAAGCTGTAAAACTACAGCTGCACTGGCGCTTGCTTTTTGACAGAACTAGCTGCTTTGTATCTCATTTCTGTTGGGTAACTAGTAAGAAACTGAGGCAAAGAGGCTACATGCTCTGTCTGATGAGTCATTGTCTGAGCTGGGATTAGACCTGCGTGGCTCTTGGTGTGCGGGTTTCCGCTCAGTGCGGTTGCATTTCTCTGTGAAATAAGTGTGAGATACCATAGTGGATCTGAACCACCTGGAGAGGACATTGGAGAGCTGGCATTAGCTGAGTGAAGGACACACAGACGTGGTGCCCAAAGCTCCTCCTGCCCAAGAAAGCTGGAGCTCCCTCCTCTTAACTTGTGCAGTGTGATGTTAATTGCTCAGGCTCTACCTGCATTGCCGAATGGGCCTTAAAAAATTCCTTGTCTGGCCATACCCCAATTTCCAAATGCCTGTCTTATTTGAGCCTAGGATAAAGTTTTCTGGAATCCATGGAGATACCTGTGCAAGCAAGACGGGAGACCCTGTCCCCTGTGAACAGATGCACTGCTAAAGGACAGACAAAATGACAGACGACCTGGTGGCTCTTGTGGCTCGACTGTGATTCTGTTTGAAGGAATTCATAGTTCTCCCTGCTGCTGCTGTAACAAAATCCTTTCTGCTCCCAGGTGATGTTGGAAACTACTATTATGGCCAAGGGCATCCAATGAAACCCCACAGGATCCGGATGACCCACAACCTACTGCTGAACTATGGCCTCTACAGGAAGATGGAGATATATGTAAGTGTAGGGCTGGTCATGAAGAGAAATAGGTATGAAAGGTCTTAGTTTATGTGTCAGGTTTTAATTTTGATGCTTCAGACCTCTAAGTTCTCTGTTCATGAGCCAAGGAGGAAAGGAAAAAAAAAAACCCAAACAATTGTGCTGATGTATTTGTGCTTTCTTCTGATTGTCTCTAGTGAGATGTTCTTTGCTTCAGATAAGCTTTGGAGATTGGAAAATTGCTTTTTTTCCTGTAACTTAAGTATGTTCTTTGTCTAGATATGCAATACATTCCAGTCTCCAGCAATGGCACTTGCCTTAGAAAATAAGTTTCTCTTGTTTAATGCTGCTGTTTTGATTTTTTTGTGGTTCCTAGGGGTAAATCTGAGGTTGGGAATGGGAACTGGGGAGAGAGATGTGTTTCAAAACAAGCCTTGCTCTTTTTTTGTCCTTGCAGCGCCCTCACAAAGCAAATGCAGAAGAAATGACCAAGTACCACAGTGATGACTACATAAAATTTCTGAGATCTATTCGCCCAGATAACATGTCTGAGTACAGCAAGCAGATGCAAAGATGTAAGCTACGCTTGTAGAGCTGTAGTTCCTGCCAGTGTTAAAATTTTAGTTCTGAGAATCCTAGGCCAGTTTTAGACGTTTGTGATAAAAAGAGTAGGAAGAACCACGGGAAATTGTCTTTCTCTTGACTTTGATTTTTCTGGTAAATTGACCGTTTAAAAATGGGTCCCTCTGTCAAGCCAATATTTCCAAAGAGCTGAGGAAAAGCCTTTGACCTGGCTGCCTTTTTTTGGTCTTGTGTTTTGATGGAAACTCTTCTAAGTTGCCTTCCTGGCTCAGAGGTGACTGAACTATTCCATTTATGAGCTGCATGTATTTTGTGTAATTGCTTATCTTTAACCAGAGGTATTGGGGTGGAAAAGGCTTGTGCAATTTAAAAGAAACAAACAGAAAAACGCCTCAACTAATCAATTGTGTCCAAAATCTGCTGTAACTCTGAAGGATTTTCAGGGCAATGGCAATTTGGAAGTGGGGGAGAGTTGAGATGCACAATGATACCTATCTACTTTATTTTAGAATGGTTTATTTAGTGAGCTAACCTCTCCAGTCCATGGCAGGGCTCTTTAATGGTGACTTTGATGTTGCAGAAGCCTTTTTTTTTTTGTCTCTCTGCAGCTCTGAGATGATGTTCTTTGGCAATAACTGTGTCAAACTAGGTTTCTAGCAAGTATAGACAAATACTGGAGACGGCTCAAGGTTCGTTTAGACAGTATTTTGATCTCGCACACTGCAGTTCTTCAGAGCAGAACTAAATGTAATCTCCAATTTAGAAGAAATATGGGTCTCAAGTCTGAAGTTGAGGCACTTGGAAATCTGGTATGAGCTGAAGGGGACAGATAGTAAGGCACAAACATGTTAAAAGGAAAGGGTAATATGGTTCATGAGAAATATACATTGAAAGACTTCCTACAGTAAATTATATGCCTTAATATACCAAATGACATATACCAAAGTACATATTTACACAAACTGAACTGTTTACCCCTGAAGCAGATACGACTCATAAACACCCACACTACTTTCTCTGGTAGTCAAAGTTTTCTGTACTGTAATTCCACAGAATTATTTTTAACTGAAGGAGGCAAAATATGAAAATTAATCTTAAACATGCGGAGGACAGCTTTTCTTCAACAAGACCTGCAAAATAGTAGCCCCTGTGTAGCTAGAGAACTAGCACAGGAGGCTCAGAACAAAGATTAAGGATATAGGAGACAAGGTCACCGCTGCCAAGTACAGTGGCAGGTCTCTAGCCTGCTTGGTGCTTCAGCTTTCCTTTTGAGGGAAGGCTGGCTGCTGTGATTTCCATAAGGATGGTTCCACCTTTAATGCTGGGCTCTCTCTGGTTGCACTCTCCCAAATAGGGAGTTCCTCACCCACCCACTACAAGAAGGAGCATCTGTGCCTTTCATGTTCCACCAGAGCTTTATGCCTATAGTCAAGTCATTGACCCCTGTTATTAATATCCCTCCTTAGTAGTCCTGGCTGCGTTGAATCTCCTGGTGGGAAAAAGCCCAGTTGGCTTCTGTTTACACAGCAGCTCCTCTCTTTGCCAGGTATAGCAGAGGGATGCCCTCAAATGCTGTCAGTGCTGCCCACAAAGTTCTGAGGGGCAGTAAAGGTAATGAACAGTCTCCAATTTCATTCTGCTAATGCCATGTTGCCCGCCCGAGGACTTGGGAAGACTACTTTTTAACCTAAAGGGCAAGAAGTTTAATTTGTTGTAATGGGAAGCATGCAGAAATTGATGACTTAAACTCTACTCAACAGGGAAAGGTTCCAACCACCTCTCTGAATTAATTATTCAAACTCTAGCAGTTGCCACGCCCTGCTGAAACAATTGGAAAGCGGGAACAATTACTTCCTTCTGGGTCTCCTGGGTATTGTCCTTGTCAGAGATCGAGATCCCTGTCCCGAACTGGGACCGTTCAAACTCCCTTATCACACAGTCTTTGTGGAGACCAATGAGTTTCTAATGCTGCAAGAACTGTGTTGTTTGTGCCTTTCTCATTAAGCACAGAAGTAAACGTTCTACAGAATTTTTTTTGTTTGTAAAAGCAAATCTTGCAAAAATCTAGATTCAGTACAAGTCTGCTGTTACTGGTTTTATTTTTAATCATGAAACTATTTACAGTAGAAATTTATCTAGGCCAAAACTACAGTACTACTGAGAAGTTAAAAACCGGCTGTCCAATGTGAAGTAAAAGGAACGTACGAAGTGTAACAGAACAGATGTGGATGTGAACTTCTTGTCCAGAACACCCTGCTATCTACCATCTCCCCACTTTCTCCTGCAGCGCTGGCACTGTTTGCTTTCTCAAATCCTCGTCAGCAATACAGCAGGAAACGGGAGTAAAAACCTTTCCCACTTGCTGTGGGGTTGTGTAATGGAGCTCAGTGACAGCTCTGTAGTCAGAAACAGCCAGAAGGCACGGTGCCCGGGCTGCAGCGTGGCCCACGCTGGGTAGTGAGGGGTGCTGGCCCCCATTTTGCACAGCCTGCGTGTGCCCGTGGTGACCAGCATGTGCTGCCAGAGCACAATACTGTCAATGTGCTGCCTCAACAGAGCGCCGCTTGAGTTGCTGCTGAGGATGTGTATCAGTATTACGCAGCTCTTGATAGCATCTCCCCTCCGCCCACTCATTTTCCAACATGATTGACTGGTTTCTGGATCCCTCGTAGCGCACCCCAGTAGATGGCATGCTGCTCTCACCAGAGCTCCTGCGACCTGCCTTCCTGGTTTCTTACAAGTCAGGAGCATCTTCCCTACAGCAACAAGCTTTTTCCCTCATCAGGCCATCCTCAGGTTGATTACGTTAATGTTTTATTACTTGTGTGTGCTATTTTGTCATATAAAACGTTTGATTGCTTATCCGGTTAGCTTTTAAAATCGGAGTGGTGGTATAAGCTTTGCCATTTATTTGTGGTTTTGTCTTACTAACTCTTTTGTACTCTTCTTGAAGTTAATGTGGGGGAAGACTGCCCTGTGTTTGATGGGTTGTTTGAGTTTTGTCAGCTCTCTGCTGGAGGCTCAGTTGGTAAGCTCACAGTTGTATGTTCTTTTCTTTTTCTCTTAAGCGAATGTATGTAATGTAGCTCCATCCAGAAAATAAATTGTTGTAGGTGGTGGTGGGGAAGGCCTGTGAACCTATTTCCCATTTTCTTAATAATTAGATCCAGATTTCTTCCCATATAAGGGTTCAAGCCTTGCGTATTGACAGGTCCCTCTACATTTGTTAAGCATATCTTCGCTAGTTCAAGTTACTTCACTGAATACGTGAAGGACTCTGTAAGTGGTATAACAACATTGCCAGCAAAGACTTAAAACCATAGCAGCAAAAGGGGTTTTATTAAAAAAAAAAAAAAAAAAAAAAAAGTTTTACATTTACGGATGAAAAAGTTGTAAAAACCTTGTTCTGGGCGGGCATAACCTGGAAAGGAAAGAAAAGGGTTACTTTATCTGTTGTTTTTAACAAAAAGCCACTGTCTCTGGACAGAAGGCAAAATAGAACCTGAAAGGTTTCAGTAAGCTCCCTGAAGGCTGGAGCATTTAAAATGCTTTCACTATTTTCAAATACTTTGTTGCAGAAATACTCGATAGTGCGGAACTGTGTTACTGCGCATAGGCGTTAAAGCTTTGTGGCTGCTACTCCCACAATGACATCTAGAAGCCTTTATTTCCTGTAACAGTGTTCAGCAGTACATACGAGTCCTGACTGCAGCATTTTTTGAAGTAGCTATGCGCTCTGGTCCCAAGGCTGCAGATTCCACAGACTATATCATTTGTTTTGATTCTGGGAGACTTGCAGAATCTGCAGAAAGTTTATGAAGGGGCTGGGGGAAGAGAACTCCTTTTGCCTAAATGCATATTCAGTGAATGGCCTAAATATATGTTGGATAAAGCCTTTCATTAAAATCTTTTGTCCGGGGCACTGAGAAATCTAAGTTGTCTTCAACTGTGACCCCAGCTAGAATGCTGTGGACTTGTTTGGGCAGATTTAATGCTGTGAGGCAAAAGTGGGAAGTGATGAGAAGTGTGTGCAGGCAAAACAGAGGCTGCATTTCTCTTCTCTTGCCTTTTGTGAGTTTGTTGAGACATCCAGTGTTAAACCTTTGGGCTTGTGCTTTGTAAAGTACCCAAATGCAGACATAAGCAATGATGTGATCATAAGGGACCTGTGCTTTACCCCTCAGTCTCTGTCATGGGGCCTTTGCTCTCATGCTAACATTTCGTAATTCTCCCAACAGCCAGTGCTGTGAAGCTGAACAAGCAACAGACAGATATTGCTGTGAATTGGGCGGGAGGCCTTCACCATGCTAAAAAGTCAGAAGCTTCTGGCTTCTGTTACGTCAACGATATCGTCTTGGCTATCTTGGAGCTCCTAAAGTACGAGCAGTAATATTTATGCCTTCTGTTTGTCTGTTCTGCTGCATTTCCTCTAAGTCCGTAGCACTTTCTTTCCAGTCTTCTCTTTTTGTTTCTCTTTTTTTAGCTGTGTTTTCCTGGGAGGGCTTAATCAGCTCTCTTTTGGGATGTAGTACCGTTTCTCCCAAAGGGGTAGCAGTAGCACTGCGCGGGAGGCAGAAGGCTTGGAGCGTTGTGTGGTTGCTCTTAGGCCCTTCTCTCCTCCATCCATCCTGGAAGAGGGCGTACAGCTATAGTATGTGACAGATTTTGGCTCAAGGTAAACCTCAGTTTGGAGCCAAGGAGGCTTGGACGTAAAAAATGCAGTCGGTTGGCTGAATCTAATTAAACCAAGTTGAGTCTGCCTTCAAAGATCGGTTGCAGCAGCAAAAGCCACTTTCTTTTCCTCTGTCGTTCTGTTCCGCTGCTGACCAAGGCACATGTCCATTCTCCACAGCTTTTTTGCCTGTAGACTCCAGAGCAAGCTGGCTGGTAGCTGTGCAGCCTGAGGATTAGCACCAAGTTCTTTCCTCTCCTCCCATTTGCTCTGCTAGTGAAGGCAGTTTCTGCTCTGAAGAAATGCAGCGTTTTGACTCCTTTCTGATCCTAGGTATCACCAGAGAGTGCTGTATATTGACATTGATATTCACCATGGAGATGGCGTGGAGGAAGCCTTTTATACCACAGACCGTGTCATGACCGTGTCCTTTCATAAGTACGGAGAATACTTCCCAGGAACAGGGGACCTGCGGGTGAGAATGAAGGCTTAGCAGAAAATTATCCTGAAATTTGGTCTCTTCCATCGGTTTGCTGTCATACTAATTTAACTAAAATCACTGCTCTCCTGGTTTTTCCTGCTCTCAGAGTGCCATCCTTTTTCTGAGGGGAGAGGTGTATATGTGAGGCAGCTGGCTCAGCTCTTGGAGTGGGTGCTTTGTTCATGGCCCGTATAGTAATAAAAACAAGGCTTTGATATTGGTCTCTTAGCAGCCTTCTGGTGGGATTATGCTCAGAAAAGTGACTCTGAAGGTGGTGTGTTGGTCATCTGTAGCCGCTTGCAAACTAAGTTTGGTCACACAAGCTTTTAGGTGAAAGTTTATGAGGGAGTACTCTGTGTGTTCATTTATCTGGTTGGCGTTTCCTCCTGTGAGTCAGTTCTGCATGTTAATGAACCATGGTGTTAACTGTGGCACTTTTTCAAGCTAGGTACAGGTGTGGTTCACTTTGTGACTTCTGACATTGCCAGCATGCTGTTCTAAGGGCTGAAAGGTTCTTTACGCTTTTTATGTGCTTTTTATTGGAATTACATTTTTCTGATCTAAATTCTCTTGCCTTCCATTTGTGAGTTGTACTTTTTCAGCCTGCCCAGAGTTTGGCGCTGGTGATATCACCTTGTGTGCAGCTGCAGTCTTCTTTCCTGGTGCAGCCGCTCTGCACCAGAAATGAAATAATTATTTTTAATAAAATACTTGGGTATGAGAGAGATAATGGAAATGTAAAAATATATATATTATTCCAAAGTAAAAATAGATTCCTTCAGTTACTAGACTGCACCGTCAGCCCAAACTGGTATTTTGGGCTGTGTGTCTCTGCAGTGTACAGGTTTGGAACTAGAATTGTAGCTGCCGGTTTTATTGATGTGTAAAAGAGAGGCTTTTGCCAGTGAAATGAGAGCCTGTGTGCTCAGAGCAAGATGTAGTAGTAGATTTTTCTTCTCTGAACACTGAGAGCCAAATGCACCCATCTATGCCAACTAAGCTGATGTTGGAGTCAACGAACTCTTGCTGCCTTCTGCCAGGACAGTATTTGTCCGTGAGAGCCTAGGCTTGCATTCAGATTACACTGATGGAATCCCAGACTTCCCTTCCCAATTTGGTGCACAATTTATGTGTTGCAGTTGGTTCTCTGGTGACTTGTGGTCTCTCCTGTCTTTAACAGGATATTGGTGCAGGCAAAGGCAAGTACTACGCTGTCAACTATCCCCTCCGGGATGGAATTGATGATGAGTCCTATGAAGCAATATTCAAGCCGGTAAGTGAAGACGTCTTTGCTGAGTGATTCTTTTTGGGTCGTACTTTGTCATTGGGTGGCTCATGGAGCCGTTCTTTGGAGAAATTGATTCAGTCTTCTGTGAAAAAGTTCTTCAGGGGCTCTATTCCTCCGTAACAATTGCTGCCTGTCGTCAGTAAGCTTCTCTTTGTAAGAGCCTCAGTGTTACCAATATAGGGGAGTCAGCAGCTGTGGGAACACTAGGGATGTTTTCATGTCACTTGCTAACATGGACATTACTGTGGTGCTGTGACACTGTCCTGTGGAGAGTGTGTAACAACGGATTTCTTGTTTAGGTGATATCTAAAGTGATGGAGACATTCCAGCCTAGCGCAGTTGTCTTGCAGTGCGGGTCAGATTCTCTGTCAGGGGACAGGCTGGGTTGTTTTAATCTGACCATCAAAGGTAAGAGTACCATACAGTGCCTGTGTTGAACCGGCATAACTGATATAATTAGATTTCATTGAAAAATTTGTTCTTATGCCATGAGGTTATGACCTTCTCCCCCACTGCTTTTGCTGCAGGTCATGCCAAGTGTGTGGAGTTTGTAAAAAGTTTTAATTTACCTATGCTGATGCTGGGAGGAGGTGGCTATACGATCCGCAACGTGGCTAGATGCTGGACCTATGAGACTGCTGTCGCTTTGGACACTGAAATTCCCAATGGTAATTCTTCCCAGGAGCCTTTGAAGCAAGACTAGGAGACAATGAAACTCTAGTAACAGAGCTCAGGGAAATGATGTTGCTGTGGGAGAGGTAGCAACCCTGAGATGTTTCATTAGCTTTTGATTATTACTGTGGAAGAGCTTTTGGATTCCCTGATTTGCAGTAGCTGTTCTTGTTTGCATTCCAGTCCTGTAGCTCTCCCCTCCAGCAAAAAGTACCCAGCAGCCTTGCTGTCTTACTGAAATTAGATGGCCTTCTACTGAAAACTTTTGTGCATGCTGATAGTGCTTAACTGCCAAGTAAGCTTTGACCATGCTGTTGCCAAGTTGTCTGTTTTGATCTGAATTTGGGCTATGAGGGCTTCAGCTCCTACACCTAGCTAACTGCAGTTGTGCTTTTATTTAGCACTGAAGTACAGTGTGCTTGTGGTATTTCATTACTGGTCCAGTGGTAATTTGGTGTGTATTCCTTTTTAACTTGCCTGCAGAACTTCCGTATAATGACTATTTTGAGTACTTTGGACCAGACTTTAAGCTCCACATCAGTCCCTCAAACATGACTAACCAGAATACCAATGAGTATCTCGAGAAGATCAAGTAAGTGTTTGTTCCTCTATGTGAGACTGACACCTTCTACTGGGGGCTTCACAGCCGTGGGTGGCACCTTGCTGACGGAGGTGTTTCTTTCCTGTCTGGCTATAGGCAGCGTCTCTTTGAGAATCTGCGCATGCTGCCTCATGCTCCTGGTGTCCAGATGCAGCCAATTCCTGAGGATGCTGTTCAGGAAGACAGTGGAGATGAAGAGGAAGAAGATCCTGAGAAACGCATTTCAAGTATGTGCTTGTCTCTGGCATGGTTGCATTGCCCGGCTGGGAAGCGTACTGTTCAGCCTGTGGGTGCCAAAGCTGAACAGGATCAATTAGCTGGAAAAGCATGCAGGCTTTAAACTGAGTTACCTTAGTAAAGAGAGGAGGATATATGATTTGGATAAATCTCTATTCTGGAGTCCTTCAGTTTGAGTCTGTTCCCACCTTTCTGATTTATTTTGTAAGATAAAGCAATGATGCTAAGCACTGCAGGGCTGATACGTTTCTTTTCCCTTGGAGAACCAGCACTTTTGCCAGATGATTTCCATAATGGAAGAACCTAGGCTTTAATGTGAGAATTTAAACAGTTCCTGTGATGTAGGTGCTATGATAGAATACTTTCTGGGAGACTGTCAGGTTTGATCTGAGAAGTTGTCTTCCACAGTGAAAAATGCTAGTTTATATCCAGATTGGCTGATGGCTTTAGATCTGGCAGACAGATTTTCTCAGTGTGGGGTTGGTTAACCTGCTTATGCTGTCAAGTCTAGACATCACACTGTACCTAATCCAAGTCGTACATGTGATCTTGGATCTTAGGTATGAGCAGTTAGGAGTGATGAGTTAAAAGGTACGGCAGATAGGCCACGATAAAAACATCTTTCTAATTCTGACTTACGTAGGCTCGTTAGTTCATTCCAGTGTGTAGATGTACTTGGAGAAGTTAGTGCTTGAGTTCTAAATCTGCTGAAACAACCTCTTGTCTTGTTCGCACTCAGTCCGCAATTCTGATAAGAGAATATCCTGTGATGAAGAATTCTCTGACTCTGAAGATGAAGGGGAAGGAGGGCGCAAAAATGTTGCCAACTTTAAGAAGGCTAAGCGTGTGAAAACAGAAGAGGAAAAGGAGGAAGAGGAGAAGAAAGGTAAGCATGAGAGCTAGGACTAGAAGCCTTCCCAGCTCGGTGGAACTTTGCCTGGCATGTACTTTCCTGCTGCACTACTGTGTGTCCTTTTTTTTTTTTTCCCCTCTAGATGAGAAAGAAGAGGAAAAAGCAAAAGAGGAGAAAGCAGAACCCAAAGGGTGAGTCCTGTCTCCTGGCATGGCAACTAAATGGCTGTGCCTCTACTTTGTGTGCTTCAATCTACCCATGCCCCCAGTGGGATGCTGCCCAAGTTGAGGGGTTGAAGGAGAGGCCTGGTAGTTTGGGTGGCTTTGTCATGGGCTCCTAACGGGAAGAAGTTTGCACGTGTGGAACAGCACACCTGGTAAAGCGCTGTGAGAGCCCTCAGTGAAAAGGGCTTAAAAATACCGTGCCTTCATTCAGTAACGTGTTACAAGTATTAAATGAAGATGGGTCATATAAGCAGCATTTTTAAGGTTGCAACTCGGGCTTGTTACGAAAGCTTGGGCACAGCCTGCGTTGCTTGTTTAAACCAAATTCTTCATTGCTTCCTTCCACAGGGTGAAGGAAGAGACAAAATCCACCTAAGATGGCTGCAGCCGGACAGTACCTGTCAGTGCGTAGTTGTCATAGGTTAGCTTCTCTGGTTGCCTCCCATTCCACAGGATTTATATTTTATATATGTTTCTGTATATATTTCTATATAAATATATAAATGACTTGAGAACTGTAAATTATTCCTTGCTGCACTCCGCTGGGAGCAGATAGGGAGGATTCTGCGGAGTAGACAGACCTGCACTGCCCAGATTTGGTGACTGGGAAGTTTCACTCTTGCCTTCCACTGCCTCCTTAGTGTGTCTTTAAAAAAAATCACTTCCTTTCTTTACTCTCTCCTCTGAAATAACCACCCTTGGAAAAGAATAATTTAAGTAGAAGTAGTATCTGCATTTCAGGTTAGGTGGAAAGATGGCCATGAATTTTTTTTTTTGTTTGTTTGTTTTTGGTTTTTTTGATGGGAGAATAAGAGTTCCCAGATGAAGCCTGTGAGAGACTGACTATTCCTTTGGTCTTCAGTTTGATTCCACCATGGCAAGTAACTGCAAGCTGGTGCCGCTTCTCAGGGTCAAATAGTGCAGTTCTTGAATAGAGTTGGCTACCTCCCTGCAGCAAACTTGTGGAAAGAGATGAAGCAGCTTAAAAGCAATCTGAAAAGCGCTTTAGTGAATCAGCCCAAGAGCCCTGCAGGTGCAGATCTGGAAAATGAAAATCACCCTAATGTGGTGGTTAACTTTTCCAAGATCTTGCAGATCCAGTTAGTGTGGCAGCATTAAGCATCTCGAGTAAGAGAAGGGATGAAATTTTTATACCTTTTTTTTGCTATACCTATGCCCCTCTTTTGAGGGGGGAGTGAGTTACTGCCCATTTGGCCGCCTGCTTTGCTTTTCCTGCTTGTTTGCCCTCGGCTACCCGTGCCGTAATTTGCTTTCTCAGTACTGATCTGTGTCCTAGGCTGTAACCACTGCAGAAATTCCCGACTCGTCTAAAGGCCAGACTGAACAGAGCCCGGCTGAAACCTCTTGTTGATGTGTGTTGCTCACTGAAAAACTCTTCTCTGAAGTTACAAATGTTTTCAAATGGAACCTTTTCTCTCTCTTGCTCTCAAGGCCAGTAAATATCGAGAACCTTTCTATCCATCAGCCGTCTGAGCTGTTATCATTATAAGGGAACAGCAGATGGGGCTCTGTACGTTTTTATAACTACTCCTCTTCCTACTCCCACACATTATCTCACACTCAAAGGTCTTTTGTGACCAGAACTGGCCTTGTGCATCTCATTTTGTACGGCTGAGCTTTTGGTGAAATGCTTTGCAGAAGTTTTGCAGGCAGTTTTGACTCGCTGCTCTCCTTTCTCAGGGGGATTCCTCTGACCATAAGAGGATCTGTACCTCCCACGGAGCGCTGCTGATGGTTTCAACTCTAATAATGCTGCTAACTTAACACAGGTTATTTTTTAAATGTTTTATTTTTTTAAATACTTCTTTTCCTTTTTCCACCGTGAGTTTTTTAGTCTCTTTGAATCTGAGTGATGTGTCACTCCTGCTCTTCAGTGTTTGTATGTGAAGCGAGAGATCAGTGTATCTTTGTGTCTGGGGGGGAAATATATTGTGGTTTTTTAAAGATGCTTTTATTTTGAATTTTGAGAACCTTTGTAATAAAACTGGTACATTTCTATGGTTGGTGTGAGTTTGTACTGCTTTCTGCCGAGAGGAAACACTTGGTTAGAGTGGGAGTTCAGTTAGTTTGTTTTCAGAGCCATTGCTGGAAAATGGTGCAGTAGCTTGGTTGTGATCGTGATGTGGTGTAGGTCCCAACAACAAAAAATGAGAGCTTTAATAAGGCTTTGGAAAGAAAAGTGAGGTGAGGCATGACTATTTTCCCCCCTCTTTTAGGAAGAGGGCTCAACGTGTTGGTTCAAATGCCATCCACCAAAGCATTATATTTGGAACATACTTTATGCTGCATGTGAAAAATTGCTTTAGTTTCCTTTGTAGATGTTTGGGGTTTTTTTGTTGTCCCTATGTTTTATGAAATGGCCTTGAAATTCTCCTCATGACCCTTCTCTCCAGAAAAGGTAAGTAAAAAATACCATGGGTTTTGTTTGATCACAACTTTTCTACTAAGGGTCACTGGGCCAGTTTTTCTGTCCCTTCCTAAAATTACAGCTGGGTTCTCCTCCAGCAGCATTTGGTGCTAATTGGGTTTGTGGTTTGTTTGGAGTTACAGCACTTCATGCAGCTGATGCTTGCTCTGAAAGCAGCTTTAATCTAGAAGAGGAATAATAAGTTATGGGAAGAGAATGTTTTTTGAATGAACTTGAGGGTTTTCTATCTGGTATTCAAGTGAAAAAAAAAATTCTTTAATTAGGAGCAGGTTAATTCTGCAGCTGAGTGATCACAGCTGAAATGGACACAAAAGGTTCAAAAGCCAAATCTGCTGTTCCTGTAGTGAAGAAAAAGCTCTGTGTTGCACAGTTGACTTCCAGCGCTTGTAATACTACTCCAGGAAACTTAGTTACCCTTTTCACCATGGCAGACAATTAAATCCTCTCCTCCTTGAACAACTGTACAATTCAAGTTACCCCTGCCAGATCATGCATGCCAGTGTGCAACTGCAGTCCTTCTCTCTTCCAGTGTTTCTTAAAATGGCTGCCGCGATGCCGTACAGCAGCTCCCTGGATCTCGGCTGGGGCACGATGCAGCTGTGCCTTGCATGGCAGACAGCGCGCAACCTTAGAAATAATTTGCAGACTGCAGTGCCTGCGTTTAAAATAGGTGTTGTCGTTTTCATTATTTTTTTGCCCCCCAAACAAATAGGGTTGAGTATTCTGCTGCATGTGGAAGCAGGTCACTTTGCTTTAGTTTCCCCACAATTGACTGGAGGATGTGCTGCATGAAACTCAAGAGTTTTGGCCATTTCCACCTACCTCAAGGGTCACAGAAGTGCGGTGGTGGTCCTTGCCCCAGGCCCAGCCCTGCCAGGGTGGTGCCAGCAGCTTTTAGGTAAACAATGGTCCTTGCTTTTCTCCAGCTTCTTCTTTGCCAGCCAAAACAGCAGGGGCAGGCGATTAGATGGGAATTAGGAGCAGGCCATTAAATGGAGGGGGCTGTGCACTGCTGCTACAGCCTAAGCTGGCAGAAGGAGCTCTTGGGGAGGCAGCAGCCTTCAAGCTCCGAGCTGCTGGGTAGGGGCAGCGCTTCCTTCTGCTGCACGCCTTTCTTGGGGAAAAATCTCCTCTATCCCTGTGCACATCGCAGGAGAACTGATAGAGGCACCCATTGTGCCTTCATTTTCTCTGTGGAAAGTAAATCTTTGCTCCCAGTGCATAGTTCTTGTGCTCTAGGATGTCTTCTCATGAACGAGAAGCCAATCCTATTCTAAAGCCACTAAAAAAAAAAAGCAAGCTTAAAATGGGAATTTCACCCACTAGCCATCCTGGGCCCCTCCTTAGGAGAAAAGACTTCTCTTTTCCTTCCCACCAGGAAAAAAATGGGTTAGATATCTAAAATAAAAAGGTAGCAAGCAGCCAGCTGAACAGCGATCCTAAGGTAGCGACAAGAAGCTTGTGTGAGAAAGTCCTTTGTGGCTGTAGCTCTACATCTGCTGCAAGTCAATTAACTGCGAGCAGAGCCAGGGCCGAGTGATTAAATGCAGCAGCTGTTGAACTAAATAAGCAACTGCCATCTTCCCTGGCCCTTGTCTGGCACCCCGGACAAGAAGGACTCGAGCTCACCCATAAAGGGGTCACCATTTATTCCTTTCAAATGTTACAATAAAGCCCATACAGCTTTTTTTTTTTTAGAAGTTAGAAAATTGCAAATCAAGTGTTTTGGCCATTAAAAAATTATTTACAGAGAAAACAATGTTGCTTCACATTATACAGCTGGCAGGCCCCCTCCCTCCACCCCACACCCTAAAAGTTATCCCTTAGAAGCAGAATTAAACACAGCGGACTTACAAGCCTTATGGTTTTAAGCCAATAGTAAGACATTATAAAAAACTAACCAGATTAGCTTTTAAACCATTGATTTCTATAAAAAGCACAAAATACTTTAAATGAAGTCAGAACCAGGAATGTAAACTGAGGAAAAAAAAAAAAAGAATCCATTGAACAGTCACTGGCTTGCTGGGCTTCGAAGGCTGCCGGGAGGAGAGTGGGGCTGGTCAGGAGGCCAGCAGAAATACCAGAGCAGGCTGGGAGATCTGGGTTCTTACAAACTGTAAATTCCAGTTATGTCCAGGATAGTCTTCCTCCACAGTTTTAAAGGATTCGGGTAAAACTGCTCCCAAGTTGTGGTGGTGGGAATCCAAACCAGCTTTCGAACAGGGGAGGGGAAGAAATAAGAGAGGGGTTGGTTTTAGAAAGCGCCGTCAGTTCTAGGTGGGACGGGGAGGCGTGGGGGCAAGGCAGCGAGTCCGTGGTGTTACCGGGACCGAGAGGATGGCGTAAAAGTCTTAAGTCAGGACGATGCCAAGTGGGCTTTACTCTTCCTTCTGCTCCACAGCTGCGGGCTCAGGCCCGGCGGGTTTTGAGGGCTCCTCCGGTTGGGCTGTATCCCCGTGGCTCTCCCCCGGCTGCTGCTTCTCTTCCTCCTTGCCTTCCCCTGCTTCTGCACCCTCCCTCTCGGGCCCTGCTCCCTGCTGCCCGGCCGGGGGACCGCTCCCCCCGGGGCC